ATTTTTACTATTCACGCACCAGTGGTATCTTCGATGCCAAAGATTGTCAGATTTTTTGTTTTATTTTTCGCACTGTTCACCATGCCAGCTGACCATCTAGAGGCGGTTAGTGAGATTTTGGACCTAGATGACACACTTACTGTACTTCGAGGACCTGAATGACGATTTTCATAGTTCGAGGACCTATGTGACACCCCTGAAATAGTTTAAGGACCTACAGTGCACTTCACTCAAAAAAAGAACTAGCGACCTCCTGCTCGAGGGGAGACTGCACTAACCACCTGACCGCAGCCATATCTTGTGCGCAATTACCCTTCTTCACGTTTTTCTTCTATGTGCTTCCCTCTTTTCTCTTTTTCCATTTTATTTTTATTTGGAACTATTTTGTTCGGCTTTCTATTCTTTTGGCCAAATCGAATGAACTTTTTTCGAATTCGATGAACTTTTTTGATTTTGATGAACTTTTTTCAAAACCGATGAACTTTTTCGAATCTGATGAACTTTTTTTCAAATTCGATAACTTTTTTCAAATTCGATGAACTTTTTTCGATTTCGATGAACTTTTTTCGAATCTGATGAACTTTTTTGTGAATTCGATGAACTTTTTTCGAATTCGGTGAACTTTTTTCGAATTCAATGAACTTTTTTTTGAACCTTTCTTAAAATTGGATGAACTTTTTTTCGAATTTACGTTTTCTTTTTTAAGATAATTTATATTGAGTATATATTAATGTTTTACTGCACGAAACGGTTAACTAGAACTATTTTCTTGTAGTAGACAACAGAGTTAGTTTGGTCTAGTGGTTAGTGAGTTGCAATTCAACAATGCAATCCTGAGTTCGAATCCCCAGCGCTCCTCAGTTTTTATTGTTTTTTCACTTTAACAGCGAACGAGTTGGGCCGGGCCATGCCAGCGATGCTGCCTGCAGGCGCCAGCTCGTTAACGGGCGCCTGCAGCACTGACTAGGACCTCCCTTGTGCAACGCTTGCGTGGTCTAGGAGCGGGCTCGGACTGGGATCCTGTAGTGGGCGCGTGGACGTGCATTGGGCTTTGGCCCAAGCGGCTGGATGACGGGGCCCACTAGCTGGCTTGCAGGCGTGCAATGGGAACTGAGGCTGAGGTGTGTTCCCACGTGGTACTTGGAGCAAGTCGGGATTTGTTTGTGACAAAAAGAGTAGACACAAGGGCTGGGAGTCAAATGCCGTGATATGCTATCAAGAAAGAAAGAAACAAGTCCTCAAGCTACTCCCTCCGTTCAGAATTACTCGCTCGTCCAAGAAATGAATGTATCTAGATGTATTTTAGTTGTAGATACATTCATTTTTATGACAAGTAATTTCGAACGGAGGGAGTACATACGTGTGATGAATCAGGAGTTTGAGCTAGCTTTGCTTTGTTGATCTGCGGCAGGTTCACATGGGAAGACTATGGAGGACTTTGCTTTGGTTTCTTTGTCGGTACACGTTTGTGTATGGATGGCAAAGGTCATGGTGGTGTCTGGAGCGTGTCGTGTAGCCGGACAAGTTCGGCTGGGTCGGACTAGTCAGTCTCGGTTGGTACAGAAGATTGTGGTGGATCGGTGACGACAACGTTGGAGCGTGATGCTGATGGTGACCGACTTCTGGACGTAGAAACACGTGACACAAGCCCGAGGGCTTGTGTGGCTTCGACAAGACTATGGCGCGGGGTTGATTCAAGGTAGTGTACACACGAGTTTGATGTCGACGAGGCGCGAGGGTGGACTGATCATCTACCATGGAGTCATGTTGAAGGTGGAGCTAGATTGATGGGCTACAGTGTAAGGATCCATAGAATCGAAGCCTATTCAGCTGAAAAAAGCGAGTGACGCGTAGTTCGGACTGGAGCCCAGTGGACTAATGGAAGCGTGAAACTCGTCATCGGTCGGTGGTGATCGGTGCTACTCTGCAGTGGGGGTTGAGTGGTGTAGGTTTGCGACCCTTGAGACTCGACGAGGACAGCAGATGCTCGACGCGGTAATATCGGCGAGGCGTGCGGTATACACGGGACTTGGAGACGTGCCAGGGCTCTGATGGTCATACATGTAGTGAGACAACTGTGAATTTGACTTGGGATGACTACAAGCAATGGTGAAATTCCTTCAAATTTCAGATAGGCGGTCAAGAAAGGAGCGGTGATGTTGAGTTCAGGTAACTTTTATGTGCGACACCCAATATGTGAGTAGTTCACTTTCACGTAGGTCAGTGATCAGTGTGTGATGGCGTTGGACGGATACTCTGGAAGTTGGGAGCACAAATTAGAGTAACAAGGAACTTAATTTTGCTCGAGTGTTAACTGTTGTCAAGAAAAAAAGGGACTACAAGTTGAAGGTGGAGTCACATGAAGTCTTTGGAGTAGCAGCGGTGCTCATGGGATAAACTCAAGTCCAATGTACATGAAAGTTTGACGAATGGACGGATTCAAAGTGGTGGAGAATATTCGTCAAGGTGGAGTTTGTTAGAGTTGTGTCGAATATAGTGTATAAGGTAGGTTACAGTTGGACTCTGGGTAGTATTATGTTTAGATAGGATATGGAGTCGTGTTCTAGCAGGACACTTATATCCTAGGCCTCTCATATATAGCGAGGGTAAACACACGATGTAACCTATGTCAACATAATAGCACAGGGATGTAGGGGAAGCCGGCGGCATGCGTCGGCGTCCAGGGCGACCGGGTGCGGGATTGTAGCAGTATCATGGGGAGGAGCGTCCATAGTCAGGCCCCGGGGATATATCCATATCAGTGAATCTCGTTAACAAATCTAGGTGTCGTGTTTGTGTGATTGCTTGGTCCTCGGATGATCGACGGTAATGCCTCGGATTTATTCTAACAAAGGCTAACAATTAGCTCAAGATAAAGTAGATAAATCAAAGTTAGTAACCTCATCTCTGGAGATAAAGTAGAGAAATGTGGAGAATCGACTAAAATGATAACAAGAAATGAGCATCTGTACATTTTCCTGGGACAAGTGGGTTCATCTCAAGAACTGGAGAGAACCCAGTGCCTGAGATTGTTTTGACATCCTCGATTTCAGCATACAAAATACACATTCAATTCTTCAGAGGCCTTTGCTGTCTGACATTGAAAGTGCAAACTGGAGAAGGACGGCAGTGGTGTGATGGACTGATGGGCCCCAACCAATGTTAGAGCTGGGCATAGTGCATTCTCCTTCTGTTTCCCCAACATGCATCTGAATGCCTTTTGTATTTGCGCCAAGAGAAAAAACATTAAACATATATGTTGTATTAAAAGAAGCACCAAGAAAACGCAGCAATGTACCAACGGTGCCAATGGCGAAATAACAAGAGCGCTCAAAATCATTGCTAGTGTAATTCTAAATCTCTTATAAATATTGATCTCATCAATACAATTCATGTGCTAGTAATTCACTCCATATCTCTGGGTAATAAAAACCAGTGTACACATATAAGAAAGCATAATTCCAACCGAGAAACTGATACAATCATGATGCCTGAAATCATGAATATTATAGTACCAATCTAACTAGCCTGTAAATACAGGTTCACAAAAGAGGGAAATAAATTATCCATTATTAATAAGCTCAATAGCCTCATCTAGCGTGGTAGGCTAGCAGATGACAGGAATTCTGCCTCCAAGCTATAGCGTCGTTGGCTACCTTCTAGCTGTGCGGACAATTTCCGAGCAGATCTACTCCTTTGAGTTAACGACCTTGGTTGCATCTGTTCTCCATTTCTCAGATCAGGCTGAGATGAGTTCATCCGTTTTGTCCGTAGGGTCTGCAGTTCTGTCTCAACCTGTTTCATGGTTGGTCTTTCTTCACCATGTAACCTGGTTACAAGCACCGCTCTGCCAAAGATGCGACACTGTCGATCTCTTCCTCAGTTGCCTCCTCAAGGACCTGGGAATTAACAATATCTGTGATTCTTCCCTCATTGAAATCCTGGAGGAAATAGTTTGACAAACTTTTGACTGTGCCTGATTCACTTGTAAATACAGACTTCATTCTCAGAAGCAACTCCACTAGTACCACACCAAAACTGTACACATCGCTCTTCCCGTTCAGCTGCCTGGTATGGAAATACTCTGGGTCTAAGTACCCAAATGTACCTTGCACATTCGTGACAATGTGTGTTTGATCAATTGGAACCAATCTGGATGCACCGAAATCTGACACTTTAGCTGTGTAGTTCCCATCCAAAAGTATATTTGAGGACTTCACGTCGCGGTGGAAGATTGACATTGAAGCTGAAGAGTGGAGATAAGATAAAGCTCCTGCTGTTTCCAGGGCAATCCTTAAGTAATCACCCCAAGACAAGGAAAGACCATCACTTGCATCCGCATGAAGAACTTCAGACAGTGAGCCACTAGATACATAATCATACACCAGCAGTGGAACCTCGGTTTCGAGGCAACATCCAAAGAGCTTCACAATATTTCTGTGGTTTATCTGAGAGAGGACAGCGACCTCATTGATAAATTGACCGATCTCACACTCCTCAATGACCTTAGACTTTTTTATTGCAACGACACGTTGGTTAGATAATATGCCTTTGTAAACCATGCCATGACCCCCACGGCCGATGATACGTGTAGGGTCAAAGTTATTTGTTGCCTTCTCCAGCTCTTCTAACGAGAAAATCTTTGTATTCTCATTTGCACTTTCATCAGATGATAGTAATGTTTCTAAGAGAAGACCTTGGTTCTTTCGGAAATAGTTCCTCCGTAGTTGCTTTTCAACATTTACTTTCCATCTACGCGTGAAAAGTGTTGCGCTGAAGCTCAGAAGTAGAACACCGAAACCACAAAACAACCCAATAATAATACCTGCAGGCATTAAGCTCTTTTAAGTTTTCTATCCTGTCCTGTCCATCATAAATGTAACAACAATATAGTCTTACCTAAGAGTAGAGGCTGTTGTTTTGTCCGAGTACATTGCATCTTTGATGGATCATACTCGGTCTTGCGAGGACAACTATTACAATAGAAGCTTCCTGCGGTATTATGGCAGATTCCTTTACAACTGTCCTGTTGAAGGCATTCATTGACGTCTGAAATTAACAAGATCCTTATTAAGATGCATCGACAAAATCTATTAAATGCAATCCGGAAGGTTATAGTACATCATTTAGTTAAGATGAAACAGTATGTCAGTTAATTAAATGAAGCCTACATGAATGACAAAACAAGGTAGAAGTAGCAAAAAAAATCGCTGTCTAATAGTAACAAGCAAATTTCTAAATTAGCAAATGTTTTTATACATTTGTACAGTTTTCTTTTAGGAAGCTAACAGATAGCATAGGTATTTGTGAGCAAAGTTAACAGTAGTACATTTCTCTCCAGCGGCATTGGTGTAGGTAACATAGCTCGTACATCACACAGTTTTGAACATTCC